TAATTTGCACAATTGCATGACATTTCTGTTTTAGTAATTAATTTTTCATAATTATCAGGGATACATGCTTAGGGGAAATTAAGTTTTCCTATTATGTTTACCAGGTTAAATGATTAATTTAAGCTGTCAATCTAAAAGCGTCTCTACTCATTATCTAATATGGCCCACTAATTACACCCTGTACAGTGTGGGCCTTCTCCTAAATGAGCTTATATTAAGTGCTAATTGTCCAGGGACCAGTGGAAGATATACAGCTCCCATTAGACCTGAAGTTGATTTGAATTCCTTTAGAGAGCCATCAGAGCCACCCAATTACAGCTATAATGAAATCAATTTAGAGATTAGTGAAGCAGGTGTCCAGGCCACGCCCATGAGGAGAGAAAAACTGAGTGAGGAGGGTCAATGGGGCGGAAGAGGAGGACTTTGGGGAATGGTTTATTCAGTGAGTGGAATTTTGGTGTTTGTTATAATAAGATAAGAGAACCCATTCGTCACACAAAGATGAAATGTCAGTGTACAGAACACAGCAGAATGAAAAATATGCAGTCAAAAATCAAGACAAATAAGTATTTCAAAATATGCATTATATCTATTGATGTAAGTACAATATAAAAAGCATTTGGGGCGACAGCAGCTCAGTCAGTAGAGTGCCCACAGATGCACAGGTTGGTGGTACGATTCCAGCTCCCACAGGTGAATGTTGTTGTTGTGTCTTTTGGCAAGACACTTAAATCACCTCACCCCCAGTGTTTACCTACACTAGTGGGGTGTCGGGGGGGGTGGGGGTGTGTGTGCGATGGTGCCTTGTGGGTGGAAAAGGTGGGTTGTGCTTGTTGTGTGGGTTCGGGTACCTGTGGGGTTTGGTTGGGTGGAAGGAATGTGGTGGAAGTAAATTGTGGTGATTGTTTTTAATCACTTTTCACACACAAAAAATGCAACACAAAGCGCTTTATAAATAAAGTTTGATTGATTGACTGACAGTGACTGTTAAATAAACTTGAATATATATATTTTTTTAAAAAAAATAAACATAAATATTAATAATATTAATAATAACAGTTACTAACATATAAAGTTTGAAATGTGATTCCAAGTATACGTTTACTTTGAGCCAGTA